TATTGGGGAGTATTTGCAGGATTCTCACCGCCACCTCGTCTGCTTTCATTACCAGCTTTAGCTCATCTGAGCAACACACTGGCCCAAATCTCATCACCCCAGGGAGTGGGCACCTTTGAAGGAAACTCTCCCAAACATCCTCTCCTGATCAGGAGGAATTCCCAGTGGAGGGTGGGGGCTCAGGACAAGCCCATGTGGGGGCTCCCACCACAGGACAGCAGGAGAGACAGCCACGGCAGGGGCAGCTAAAGCCAGAAATCTTCATTGGCCCAACGAGATCAAAGAAGAGCTGCTCTGACCGAAGAGCAACAACATAGCAAGATGGAAGCGTGCACGGTTGCCATTTGCTAGAGAAAGTCAAGGGGTCTTGTGTGTCCGCCTGAGGACTTGCAAACTTATCCCTGCAAAGCTCCATGGACAGCCTCCTTCCTACTGCTCTGTGTCCCAGAGGGCCATCTCTCCCTCTGCTCCGTGCTGTGCGCCTCACTATATAGCTGCCCCTTCCCCCAGGCCTGGCTGCTGCCGGTTGCACTCCTGCAGAAGCCCTGCCTGTTAATGACACAGTGCGTTTAGAGATGAGTGAATCTCCCTAGGCTACAGCAAGGACATGTCACTGAGGAGGGGGCAGTCGCTTCCGCTCCTCCCCAGCATCCTCCTCCCTCTTCATCTCATCTCTCTATCTAGGTTTAGACACCCCGCCCATCTGACTGACTATGCACTCACTCCAACAGGAGAGCGAAAGGGAGGCCGCTGAGGGGGCCACCTGCTCATCTGGGGCTGGGAAGCAGGTCACTGGAGCTGGCTCACCCGGTTCCCGGTGTGACTCAACTCAGGAGCGAGAGGTGCCCGAAGGATAGTTCTCAGCTACCCAGTGCCTCCCTGGAAACTAGGCTGGTGCCAGCTGGAACGATCAAGCCTGAGGGAGAGCCAGCCATGAGGAAAAGGCTGCTGGACCCTGCCAATGCCCACTTACGCTATTAACCACTAGTTAGCGATGCCCCTTGCATTGTTCTGAGATGAGTATCCCATCATGCCCTCTCTTCCTAATCCTGCTTTGCAGCCCCCATAGCGTTTGCCAATGCTTTCCCATTAATTTTAACACCCCGGGTGAGGCTGGTGATTATTATAACCCCATTATCCAGATCGGGGCAACTGAGGCAAAAGGAGGCAAAGTGGCTCACCCTACAGTCATGCAGACTCAGAGGCAGAGCTTGGAAATAAAAGCCTGGAGTCCTGTTCCCTGGTCCCCCCCTGCTCTAACCAGTAATCAAAAGTGGTTTCCACCATGCGATAACCGCCGAGTAGCCGGGCTAGTTGAACTCAGGTCAGCTGGGTTGGCTCCAATTCCAGTCGGAACACCCAACCCCTGGTGACACACACACACGCCCATAAATTCACTCCAGGCCAAAACTCAGTCGGTAAGTTCCAGTGCACTAGCGATATTTAATGAGAAAACAGCCGCAAAACACACACGCTCACTTCCCAAAATAGTCTGATCCAGTTGTTGTCATGCTGCAGGAGTGCACAGAAGAAAAAAATCTGACCAATGAATGCGATGTTTGCAAGCGTCAGCCTTTTAGCAGATGCTTCATGATATTATAGCTGCTCTTCAGACCATAATATGGACCAGTCCTCTTTGGCCTCTAACACAGATATACAGCTTGGGCATTGTGAATGGTCTGATGACAGATTCTCCTGAAGGCTGTGCAATCTCCTTGGAAAGGAAATTTCCCCTTGAATTGCAGTGAAGTCTCACATCTGACCTAGGGCCTCCAGGCCACTATAACTTTGGTGTGACTTAGTCAGTGATCATCAAAGTACTTTGAAGTTGCAAATTGCCATCAGGCATGTCTATAGCACCTCCCATCTGAGGATCTCAAAGCACCTTACAAACCAAGCTATGCCGGCCCCACTATGAACTCAAGAAGTATTACTGTCCCAACTTAAGAGAAGGGAATTGCCCAAGGTCCCACAGGAAAGCCTGTAGCAGCACTGGGAATAGAAACCAGATCTTCTGGTGCCAAGCCACCCATGTCAATCACAAGACTGGCAGTGCCTCGAATGGCACCAATTTCCATGGCAGATAAACAGATAGCGCATTAGTACTTCTTAAACATAAATTGAACCACAACTGTTCCCAGCCTCTGAAAATCAGCTGCTTAGGATCTTTCTTCTCCAGCTCCCTGTGGTTTTGAATAGGCTGATTCCCATTAACATCTTTGAAGCTCTACACCACAGCCTGACACGATACCTGGTAATGGCTCCAAACGGACAGGAAAGCAGATTTGCATGGTAGACTGCAGGAGCCCTGAATTGAATCCGTTATGGGCGATTGAGCAGATTGCATTAAAGACAATTTGTGAAACAGATTTTTATAAGGGACTTCTTATGGCTTTTTATGGCAAGGAACTTTTATCTCCTTATAAGACAAAGCTAACATTATAAGAAGAGGGGGAAGGGGAGGGAAATGTACACAGGAGAGGAACAAAAAAAAAATCTGCATTGAACAGATGAGCATTAAAGGTCTGACAGAAGCAGAGGAACGCAGGGAGAAGACTAAAATTGCCTCCTGATTTCATTGCATCCTTCCTGGGTCCCATCATTCTCTTCAGCAAAGTGGGGTTTTTTTGGTTTTTTTGGCCAGAGGAGTGAAAAAAAGCTTCATTCTGTGTTCTCCATCTCTCCCTGTCTTTTCCCTGACACCTCTGCCTCTCTAGCTCTCAGTGGCTATATATGGATAGCTTCATGCACACGCGCTCCAGCTTTTAAATGTAACGTCTCACTCCCTCGCAGAACTCACTGTGAACCGATGTTGCTGAGGTGAGCAGTTTAGTAAGATCCATAAGCTCCTTGGGGCTCAGGGACCATCTTTTTGTTCTGTTTCTGTACAGCATCTAGCACCCTGGAGCCCTGATCTCTGGCTGGGACACCTACCCGCTACCAGAGCTGAAAATATCAACCACCCATGCTTCAGGGCACAAAGCAGTCACCAGCAGGGGTCAGGAAGGACTATATCGCCAAAGCGTTGCGGAGTTGACTGTACGTTTCTCTCTGCAAATCAGAGCCAGGCTACCAGACTAGGTCGGCCACTGGTAGGCTCCAGGAGAGACGGAGGAGGGATAGCAGAGTAGACAGAGCACTGATCTATTGCAATATGGCAGGAGATGGGACTTCCCATGGACCCTTAAGTATAGCAGGAAGCAGGATACTGATTAGATGGAGCACTAGTCTCCTCTAGCATAGGGGTGGCAGAACAGAAACTGAAGCAATGAACAGAAAGAGCAATTGTGTTTTGCTAAGGCAATTCCTATGCTTCAATGGTGATTTGAGGGATAAATTATTAATCACAGTGGCTGCAAGAGCAAACCACTCATCCCTCTGCCCCTGCAGACTCATTCCATCTCCAGTACCTCTTGGCTGTGTGTGGGGAGCGTGACCTAGCCAATGCCCTGAATGGAAAATCTCCAAGGGCATCCACGGCAAATGATTTCCTGCAAAGTTTGAGCTTGTTTCCTGCAAGAAGCCACAGCTCAGAGCAGCTCTTAAAACAGCCGATCCACCTGGCTGGAGGAATAGTGGAGAACAGTGACCTGTATACGAGCCCCAGGCTGTTTTCACCCATCACCTTATTCCTCTGCAATGCACAACCAGCTCCTTTTCCTCCCAGGCAGGGGGATAAGGAGGGACAGATCCAGCTCTGGCTTCCCTTTCCCCTGGACTCTCCACCCTTGGCAGATCCTCTCTGGACTCCTGACTTTCAGCACCAGGCCTTCAGCAGAGTCTCACCCTCTCCCACATCCCTTGAGCTGGCCAGTCTCCGGGTTTGCCCATCCCTGATGCTCTCCAGTGGAGACAGGTCCTGCGTGCTTGTGGCCAGCTGCTGATCCGGCCCTCTGCCTTTCCCCCCTTTTAAAACACCCACCTCTGATCCAGCTCCTCCTGCCTCCCCAGCTACAAGGCTGCCTCCCTCTGCAGCACGCACCCCCTGGGGAAGGGCAGGCAATGGGGCGCTGGCACCTGCACGCCCAGGCCCGGGCACAAGGAGTTAAGCCCTGAAAGAGGGAATCTGTTGCAGTTGCCTCCCAAACGCATTTTCCAGCACAATGCACCGGGACTGTCCCTGCCCCTCACGGCCCCATCCGAGTGCTAAACTGACAGCCCCCTTTTGTTTTCTTTGCAGGACCCCGGATTTACATTAACCCCTTTGGTGCTGCAGCAGGCGCAAGCAGCAACAGAGCCAGCCCAGCCAGGGCCATTTGAAAAGTGGGTCAGCCTATGAACTGCTCTAAAGGCCAGGGGAGAAGGGGGCAGAACCAAGCCACGCCTGGCAAACCGCTGGCCCCGGGCCGGTTCTCCTCCCACTTGCACCAGCGGTAACGCGGGGTGAGTCTTCAGTGGAGTGGTTCTGTCTCGACCCACCTGGCCCCGGGATCCGAATCAGGCCCCAGGAGCGGCTCGGAACCGTGACCCGTGCAGCTGGGGGAAGTTCCCTCCGGACACGGAACCCCCAAAGCATCTCTTGGCTGCGGGATAACGCAGCTGGGGCTTCCCCCCCATTTCAGAACAGCGGGGGGCTGGCGAGCGAGCGCGCCCCAAACATCTGTGCGCCTCGCCCAGCCCTTTTCTGGGAAGCCTGGCAGCGCCAGACGCTGCTAGCGCCAACAAGCAAACACACCGCCCCAGCGCCCGGGACACTGGAGCCCGGCTGCTGCCAAAACAAATCATCCTGCTGTTGTTTTACAGGCAAAATGAGATCGGCCCGTTCTGCCAGGCGCCCCCCGCCCGCTCCCTCCCATGCGGCACCCCCCAGCCCACGCAGATGCCTTCACATCGGCTCCAAAGCTGGGCAAAAAAAGAGACAGCGTTCCCACCCCACCCTATTCACCTCCAACTTCCTTTCGCCCCACAGCAGCCCCAACCCCCCCCCGCCCCATCCTTGCTGCCAGGGAGCCGGGCCCTTGGCAGGATGGGGCCGGGCACAGCCGATCCCCGCCGCTCACCTGGTAAGAGGGAAGCCACCAGCAAGCAAACTCCAGTCGTCCACCAGCACCCAGGGCATCTCGACTGCCGCCGCGGAGCCATCAGAGTTCCTGAGTCAAACCGACCGGCAGCGGCGCCGGGGTTCAGGCGAGCTGCTGGCTGGGGGTTGCACCTCGCCCCCCTTCCCAAAAACAAAAATTGCAAAGGAAAATACAAACCCAACCTAGGCCGGGGCAATAAATATCGAGTGCACCACACAAAGCTGGAGGGGCCCCTTAAAAATCCACCGATTGTCGCGGACAGCCTCCCTTCTGGGGCTGCAAAAAGCGCTCCAAGGGGGATCGGGCAGTTCTCCTCCTTCCTCCGGCGACCACGTCCTCAGGGGGCAGAGCTCTCTGCCGGGGCGCCTGGCGTCCCCCCTTAGCACCGCCGCTCCCTGGAACCAGGCGGAGGGCAGGTCATGCTCCCCTTCACCGCCTCCCCCTCCGGACCCTGGGGGCAGGTCGGAGCCCTTCACCGGGGAACAAATCCCAATGCAACCGCGCAGGAGGCTGGGTGTCTTCCCCCGCCGCCCAGCCCGGGCTTTGCAAAGAGGGGGAAAGGGCTGGTTAATTTCCAGTCCACGTTGCTGCTGCGATCAGATGGTCCCAGCTTGGTGCAAGTTGCAAAGCTCCATGTCTTTGCTTCTCTCCTCCAGGAGCAGAGGGGGAGGCAGTCCCCGGGCACCGAGAGCGGGAGAGAGCGGGCTGGCGGCCGGGGGACTCTTTGGCACCGAGATTTTGCTGCGGCGGCGGCGGCTGGGGGAAAGAACTGGAGTCTCCTTGGAGCATCAGCACGGGAAAAGCGGGTCCCTCCCTTCTGGTCTCTGATCTGTAACAATGGAACGCGCAGACACACACTGGCGCGGCTCCGGATCCGTAACCCCGCTCCTCCGCCGTGATGTCAGCCCATGTAAAGCAGGAGGAGGGCCCAGCCTTAACCCTTCCCGCCCCCCCCCCCCCCCACGCCTCGGCAGCAGCCGCCCAGCCGTGGCCCGCAGCCGACCCCACACTCGCAGATCGGGCTCTGGCTCGGTTTTTTTAGGGCTCCCCCCTCCCCCCTAAAAAATTAGCACCGAGTTCAAGTGGCTGCGCCCGCCGGGAAAGGCAGATTTAACATGCTCCCAGCCCAGTACTCAGCCAGTCTGGGCCCGATCCTGCTAAGGCACCATTAGCCCATTAGTTTCAACTGGATAACTCCCCCCCCGCCACAACACACACACACACTCCGGGAAGATCTGCAGCGCCGGACCCACTGTTTGTTCTGGTTTGGCATATATAATCCTTGAAGTCATCCCATGGGACCGGGGTTCTGTGGGTTCCAGTGCTCTTGAGTAGTGGGACCAGGGGCCTGGGAGTCAGGATTCCTGGGTTCACCCACACATGCCCGCCTTCACCTCAAGCATTTCCCTTGTATATTGTTTCCCTCTTCCAGCATCCATAGTCTGTCCTGTCCATTTAGACTGCAAGCTCTTCTGGGAGCGGACTGGGATGATGGATAAGTAATACAATGATCTGGTTTTCATGGCTGAGAATCCCTGGGCCCCATTTTATCTATCTGTACAAAGGGGATAACCCTGATAGGGATTTGCTTTACAAAGGGGTTGGATGAAGGCTACAGGCCAAGGTTCCCAGCTCTTGGGAGTCACTGGATGAAATCAGAATACTATGGTTTTAGCCCTCATGGATACAGAGGAACGCCTGAACATGTGAACCAAGTATTATATGCCTGTCTGAGCTTGAAATAATAGCCCCTGTCACGTCAGTGGAGGGTGGGGCTGCACTGTGGGGGTGAGGGACTGGGAAATATCTAAATCTCCGGCTTTCTTTCATTTGGCCCAGTTGTGAGACTTCATTAACGACTGCAAAGCACTTGGATGATAAAGGCAAACTTTTACTATTGGTAACAAGTAGAAGTCTGCCCCCAACCAGAGATAGCTTATCAGAGGGATGCAGTTTAGGGTGCAACCGTTTCCATAGCCAATGGTATAGAAGGAGTGGCACAACTGGCATCATATCTGACTGCTTTTGACTTCCCTAAGCCAATGGATCAGGTGCCTATTTTGCAGCTGGGTGGACTGGAGGTGAGATTTAGTGTGTGATTAAGCAAAACTCAAACCCACAACCTCTGAGATTGCAGTCAAGCCACTGGCCACCACACCTCATAATTGGTTTATGTATATACACACATACACACACAAACTTTTATAAATGTCCCTTGTTTATGTAGGACCTAGACAATGTGCAATGTAAACAAAGGCCATATTTTGTGTGTATATCTATATGTAGTCATGCTGATTCAGAATTAGCATTTTCTGCATGTATGTACTTTTTTAAAATGACCCTTGAATATAGGACCTAGAGAAAAACAATGTTTTCTGCTTTTAAAGGTCCCTCCGCTAACTCAGTATTTAACCAACAAGCCCTAGACCTCAAGCTGCACGGGCATCAACAAGGATGCTGAGTCTCAAACAAAGATGTGACGAACAGCAACAACAACAACAACAACAAAGTCATGTTGATTTCAAGCTCCATTAGAAACAACACAGGAACAAATCAATGCTTGGCAAACAGAAAAGGACAGAATCAGTAGGGAAGGATATTGCATACAATGGTGAGTGGAAAGGCGGAAGCTATAAAAAGATACCTCCAAGGACTCTTTCAACACCCCTTTCCTTTTTTTCTTCCCAGTGAAGCTAATTGCCATTCAAGGGAAGGTTGGACAGTGCTGTAACCAAGCGGATTAGCCAAATACAAGGTTTGTTTGAAAATAATGAAGGTTATTACGTAGTAATGAGGTTTAGCTAATAGATTCATGGATTTCAAGGCCTGAAGGGACCATTAGGATCATCTTGTCTGACCTCCTCTGTAGCACCGGCTAGAAAACGTCATCCAGTAATTTCTGCACCAAGCCTAGGTCTTCTGCCTGATCTACAGCATACATGATAGAAAGATAACCAGTCTTGATTTAAAGACAAGTGGTGGTGGATGGACAGGTGATAGTAAGTTGTTCCAGTGGTTAACTGTTAAAAATGTGTAGCTTAATTTTAGTTTGAATTTGTCTAGCCTCATCTTTTAGCCATTGGATCTCATGTTGCCTTTTTCTGTTAGATTAAAGAGCAGTCTACTGTCAAGTTCATGGAGGATAGATCTATCATTGGCTATTAGCCAATATGATCAGGGTGCAACCCCATGCTTCGGGTGTCCCTAAACTGCTGACTGCCAGAAGCTGGGACTGGACAACAAGAGATAGATCACTTGAAAATGTCTTGTTCTGTTCATTCCCTCTGAAGCATCTGGCATTGGCTACTGTCGGAAGACAGGATACTGGGCTAGATGGACCATTGGTCTAAGCCAGTGTGGCTGTTCTTATGTTCTTAACTTGCTTCCCCATATAGGTACTTGTAGAGAGCGTCACCTCACATTTCACAGCATCATAACTTAGATCTTTTAATTTTATTTTGCTGCTGGGTGCTTATCATTTGTAAGTCAAATTAATTAGTAGGGCACTTAGAGCTTTCTGTATGGGCTTTTAAAGTTGTGGGAGAAAGAAAGAAAGAAAGAAAGAAAGAAAGAAAGAAAGAAAGGGTATGTCTACACTACCCCCAGCGGGTAGTGATTGATCTATCAGGGATCGATGTATCGCGTCTTGTCTAGATGCAATAAATCGATCCCCGAACGCGCTCCCCTGTCGACTCCGGAACTCCACCAGGGTGCGAGGCGGAAGCGGAGTCGACGCGGGAGCGGCGGCCGTCAATCCTGCGCCGCGAGGACACGAAGTAAGTCAATCTAAGTCGATCTAAGATACGTCGACTTCCGCTACGCTATTCTCGTAGCTGAAGTTGCGTATCTTAGATCGATCCCCCCACAGTGTAGACCAGGCCAAAGAAAGAAAGAAGGAAAGAAAGAAAAAGATTTATTCCCAAGTAACACAAGTCTGGGCCTGGTTCTCAAGCGCTACTGAGCACACACAACTCCAGTAGAAGTCAGTGTGCGCAACAGGTGCTCAGAACCCTTGAAAATCATGCCCGGTCTGTCTACGCTCTTTAATTTAGCCAGGTATTTTTAGAGCATCCATCACACTTTAAGGTTAAAGGCACAGAAATGAGGCACGCTTCTCTGAGGTGCCACTGTTTATTGCAATGAACTAGGGAGTGTGTCTATGCGCCACTGCCCCCTACGGGCATGAAATCAGAACTGCTTAACTGTGGGGCATAGTTACTATACTGCTAACAGGCCTGTAGACAGTCATGGCTCTTCTTTAGTTCAAGTGATTTTGGAGCTGGAGGGTGTGAATTCTATCACCATGAAGTCTCAACAGCCATAGCAAATGGTTTGTCTACATTAGGAAAGGCAGTCAGGCTTAGTTAACACATGCTAGCTAGCCCCAATCTCACCAGGGCCTTTTCCCTAATGTAGATGCAGTTTAATCTCCCCTCTCCCCTCTTACTTCAATTTAGCCGACTGAGGTGACCCAAGAGTTTAGGCTAGGGTATATCACAACTGTTTGTGTTGTGGAACAATCATTTGTGGAGCGTCAAGACTAGTATTCATAATCATGTTAGTTAACTCAAGTTAGAACAGGAGCACAAGCCCCAGGCTAGAGAAACCCACAAAGGCTCTGTCCCTATTAATAAATAGCTCTAGGTACAGTTCACTAAAGACAAAGAGAAAAATGAATCTGTGTTATCAGTGCCTTGAAACCTAGCAAGGAAAACAGCTCTCCAATCCCACCTGGAAGTGATCTTTGCCACTGAATGTACAGGGACTCTAAAGAGATGGTAGAAAGGAGCCATTCATGTTAGGTGGGAGCTACTCACCAAATCAGAGCTTTTTCTGTGACATGAGTCCAGCTTTCCTTGTGGGGTCTGGCTTAGGCCCAGATACTAGCAATACCATAGTCACCTGGCCCACTCTTTTATAAGTTGTCATGCAACTAATGTTCTTGAAATTGCAATTAAAGCATGCAACATTTGGCTGGGAATGGACAGGCTCCCTGCAGCGCAGTGACAAATCGCCGGCCACACGTCAGCTGAGGGTGCATCGAACTAATCCAGGACTTTTTCATGGATGCTGACTCTACAGACAGCCGTTTGCAACCAGATCCCATCTGGTGCAACCCCCAAAATCCTTAGCGACAGTTACCAGGGTGAGAGCAGATGCAGTGGCTTAGATGGTTCGCTCTGAGGAGGACACATTTGGTAGTGGCTAAGGTCTGCACTAGCAAGAGAACAGACACAGAGAAAGAGAGGGATTCAAAGTGCCTGAAGACTGGTCATTTGGGGCCTTCCCTACATCCAGGGCCGGCTCCAGGCACCAGCGCAGCAAGCAGTTGCTTGGGGTGGCCAATGGAAAGGGATGGCACATCTGGCTCTTCGGCGGCAATTCGGCGGTGGGTCCCTCAGTCCCTCTCGGAGGGAAGGACCTGCCGCCGAATTGCTGCCGAAGAATGAAGCGGCGGCGGTAGAGCTGCCGCTGATCGCGGCTTTTTTTTTTTTTGCCGCTTGGGGCGGCAAAAATCCTGGAGCCAGCCCTGCCTACATCATCGGCTGAAAACAGCTGGTGAGGATGTTACAAACGCCCAGTGACAAAGTTTATCATAACAATAGGGACAGACCCCAGCTGCATAAAATCCTACAGGTATGACAGATCAACAATCTCTTAGCCAATCAGCAACACAAAGGACTGCTGTACGGGCAGAGAGCCGGATCGCAGTGAAGACAGCACTGCTCTGGGCCTCCGTCACATGCAGGGGCACTTTCTGTGACTCAGCGTCATAGGCACACACGTTGGAATCATAGAATGATAGTTAGACTCAGCTGTTTGTCCCTCTGAAGCAGAGAAACGTGGGTCCACGCA